ACTTACTATTTTGTATATCCCATGCTTACTTTGTTGATTGATGAAAAAAAATTTGGGTTCAAGAATCATGATTTGAGGCATCGCTGACTTGTTAATTTCTTACCCGCTTCTAGCAAGTGGCAGACCTAGCTTTTTCTTCTTACTCTGAACAGTTGTGAACCTTTTTTGTAGAAGCTCATTAAAAATTTACAGAGAACCAAATGAACCATAAACTGATTGAACAATCCAATCGGATGTTGCTGCTCTTTAGGGATATGAGTCTGGGACTTGAGTCCATCTGGTGTAAAGTGCTTGTTAATGCATCAATCTATCTGGTGTAAAGTGCTTGTTAATGCATCAATACATCTGGTGTAAAGTGCTTGTTAATGCATTATTTCAATTATGGGAGAGGAATAAGAGGGAATCAGAGGAAGCGTGGAACTTTATTATAGAACTAGAGTTGGGCATACTAGGCTGAAGAATGCACAGGCCCTGCACCTAAACTACATCGAGTCACAAAAAAAAAAGGTGGTCATTCTGATCCTCCAGGACCAAGACTTCAGGTTCAGCAATTTTTATAGTGAAAAATTCATTAGGGAGCGCTTGCTGGATCGTCTAACAAAGCAGATTGAGCACAAAGACTTTAAACAGCTGTGAAGTGGCAAGGGTATTAATTAATTAACAACAAAGTACCGAATGCAGCTGGTAGTTACAGATGTGCCAGTACATTCGAATGTACAGAATGACCCAGCAAGACAACCAAATGTCGCTTATAGTATCTTCTTAAGTCCATAAGTATTAACCTCAGCAGGTTAAAAATCAAACTAATAGCAATTCCAATTCCATGAAGCAGAGTCGAAAGCATCACTGCTTGATGTTTTGCGATGCCTAGTAGGGAAGTGGCAAAACAATAAAAGGTGAAGACAATTGGTTGTTTCACAAATCAAAGCTTCCCAACATTGTCAACGAGTAATTTGCATGATAGGATAAGATGAAGATAACAAATTGAACTTAACTTCAGTCCAGCAAGTCACAGAAGCAGATTATATTTAATTCATTTCAGAGAACTATAATTTTGCGATTTGTCATGAACATCAACACATGTATATCTTTACCGATTGGCTCACAGGTGTCATTATGACTGGAACGGTCGTATTAACTACACAATCACATGCAACATCATTCTGAGCTGAGCTTGTGACATAGTGTATATAGTTCATCCATTACATTTGGCACCAACCATTGCATTATACTATACATATAGGAGTACACAAAAATGTGCACAGCTCACATGGTGCTGATGCACATTCCACTTGGTTTTCAGCGACAACACACTGTATAAACATTTCAGTACGTCTCAACACCAGTAGATTTGCAGTTGACGTCGAACCACACCTCATTGACACGGCCAATGATGCGGAATGGACTACTGCACTGTGCAACTGAGTAAGCGCTCTTGCTGGGGTAGTTTGTGGAGTTAGCCCAGGGCGACTGACTCAAGCTCATGGCAAGCTTCTCAGCTTCCTCAACCACGTTCTTGTCCCGTGCATAACCTGAGAAGCTCCTCACTGCAATGCAGTGGCTTGGCCATCTATCTGGATGCAGGTTCAGTTCTGGGAGAGGAACCGGAGGGGAAGCCTGGAACTTTGTTGGTAAGTAGAACCGAACAAAGTAGGCTGAGGAGTGCAGAGGCCCTGCACCTGGAACCACACTTGTAAGTACAGGGGTGGTCATTCTGATCCTCGAAGAGTTGAGATTTGCGCCCATCAGGTACTGGAACAATCTGGCAGCCAGCAACAACATGGAAAAGATTTTAGAGATTGTTGGATCACATAAAGAAGATCAAGCAGTAGGGGAGTGAGCTAAAACAAATGTGACATTTGCAAGTGGTTATATATGTGGTGCAATCCTATGTACAGAAAATGATCTGGCAGAACATCAATATCTTATGGACAGGAATATCACAAGCTGAGCCTCAGGTATGTAGCCTCAGGTAATATCAAAACTAATAATAAAACTTCAGAATTCATGAGTTAGCAGAGTCATAGAATACCTGGTCAGAATTTCACAACACCAGTTAGTAGGAAACTGCCAAACACTACTCAGGTAAAGACTATCGATTTGTCTGTAGGATGCCTTAGTATTATTAGATACTTTTTCAAATATCGAAGAGTCTTCGTCAGTGAGTAATTTGCATAACAAAAAAATAAATCTTTCAAATATCAAAGAGTCTTCATCAGTGAGTAATTTGAATGGTTTTTGAGGCGTTGCGGCGTCCTGTGGCGCTGGGGTACGCCTGGACGCCTAGGTGATATGGTGTAACTAAAAGTCTAAAACCCTGTGGCGTCCTGCGGCGCCTGGGGTACGCCTCACCGCCTAGGCGACGACTAGGCGACGCCTCAAAAACCATGGTAATTTGCATAACAAAATAACGAAGAAATCAAAATGATCATAATTTCAATATAGCAGGTTACAAAACGGATGGTTTAGTTAATTTCAGGAGCCCTGCAATTGATCATGAACATCAATAGAAGAAAATGCAGGTCTCCGTGTTCTTGAATTAGTACAGATTTATCTTTACCAGTTGCTATTCGCAGGTTAGTTAGAGAGTTGTACCTACGATAACCATGAAGAGTCTAGTTAATCCTTATCTTACCACCATGGATACTCGTTTGGTTTTAAGGAAGCTCGGATACTTTTTAACTGAAAAAAAAATGAACAGGCCTCTACTCAAGATGAGATGACATTGATAGTGCCTTTTTTTTTTTGAGGAATCTACAGTTACTTTTATTAAAACAGAACAGATAACAAAGCGTATGATTACAAAACAAAATTACGAGACATAAAAGGAAACAGACATTGATAGTACTTGCAAGTATCCATATCAACTGAAGTCTGAAGTGCACATCCACACAGCAGCATTGCATCCTGGTGAACACCCAACAGCGCAACAACCCTCTCGGTCTTCGGTTTCCCCATCAAAATCCAATAGCAATCCAATCCACTTTTTCTTGCATTTCTATCCATTCCTATGCAAGAAATCGAAATCGACCGGACCGCGCCGCCCACACCCCACAGGGACTGGGGGAGGGGGGCAACCGATCGATCTGCTACCGAGCCGAGCGGAACAAGATCCCGGAGAGCGAGAGCCGAGAGACGGTTACCGGTGGAAGCCGAGCTTGGTGGCGACATGGAAGGAGGGGATGTCAGGGGTGGGGGCGGACATCCAGACGGTGTCGCGGTACAGCCGCACCTCGAAGTCCGACTCCGCGTGCACCGTCGTGTACTGCGGCGTCTCTCCGGCGGCGCGGGCGGCCGGCAGGAGCAGCTCGACGAGGACGAGGGGCAGCGGCAGCGCCATGGGGATGCGGATGGGATTCTGCTGCTTGGCCATGGTCGTCGTCTTCCAGCTTGGCAAGCAAAGCAAACGGGTAAGACCGGTAGAGAATATGCTATGGGTGTGATTGATTCATGGCTTAGCCGGTGGTCAGACTTGCATAATGCAATTAGCTCTGTTTTGTATGGCCTGCTAGCCAGGCTTGCACAAGCTATTTCATATGGATAATTTAGCTCTCTAAAAATGCCCGTACATTGAGCAAGCTATTTCATATGGATAATTTAGTTTTTTTAAAAAAAAATCATGAGAAATGCGATTTGGCAGAGAAGATAGGCAGCGTATGAAGGCGTGTTTGAAAAGAGTTTTTGTTAGCAACCGACAAAATTCACATAAACTGTACCACCGAACACATGATAACAAATCAGGCTACAAGTCTTCTACTCCATTCTCTAGAAAAACAGCAACAACAAATCCTCAACTTTAAATTCTTGAACATAGCCATTCAAACTTTAAAAACAAAGATGATACATTGAGACAGTTTTACAGTTAGAACACCTTATTCATATTAATCTTTGGCTCATGACAACTAAAATGTACTTGTTATATTTACTTTTTCATACCAAGACTAAAGTGATTTCTCAGAGAATTATACCGCTTCGTTTAGAAAAAAACTTTTTCCCCGACAAACATAAATAAATAGACATTCTTAACACTATTTTAACATTGGACTACTTAATAGTATGTTGATTTCGATCTTTGTTTACCTGAAATGTTTTCGTAGTACCTCGATAATATGGAAAATTCATAATTTATTGGTTATTTTAGGTGTGTGTCTATTTATCTGTTTACATTTGAATCACGTCTAAATAAAAATGTTACTATTCTATAGTATCAAACAATTCGATCTTACCAATTTTCTTTTAAAAAAACATGATAAACCATATATACCAAGTACTAACAAATCCTAACTCACTTTAAATTGTTTCCATCTTACAACTAAATACAACTCAACATTCCCACGTAGAACGCTAACATCTCGACCACCTTAAAAATAAATAAATTTAAATAATAATATCTTTGATATATAACCTCGCGCCATTTAGTTTTACCTCTATTATAAAAAAAACAAAACGGAGTACTATAATACATCTTGTTCGCTTCTTTGATTTAGCAAGAGCTTATCAGCTAACCAACAGTATTTTTCTTTTATAATAAATTAGCACCAGTTAAATTTATCACCCAGAAACCAATCAGCAAACAAGTTATGTATATTTTACCCTAATTTTCTCCCAACTTTTGCTCACCTTCCTCAGATCTACCGAACAAATCTCAAATCTACCTCGCTCTCTCTCTCTCTCTCTCTCTCTCTCCCTGGGGAGGGTCCCTCCCCTGCAACGCCGGCGCCCTCTGCTCCCGCGGCCATGGCACCAAGGTGAATTTTTCTTTTCCCTCTCCTCCCAGTCAGAGCCCCTCCCTCTGCCCAGCGCCGCCGCCTTCGTGTTCGCTACCCTTTTTTTCTCCACCTGTCTTCGCTGTGCTGTGTTCCATGGTCTTGCCGAATTCCTTTCCCTCCTCAACCCGGTCTCGGCGCTGCCAGTTTCATTCTCGTTTCTTCTTTACGCGGTGCAGATTGGTGGTCACGTAGTTCGTCTTCCCGTTGCGGCCCAATTCGCGGAGGTGCGGCATGGCAGCTCCGTCGCTGCCGTCGCAGATTGTGCAGTTCAACAGCAAGGTGTGATCCCGGTGCTGCCCCTCTTTTACGCGGTTTGATTTGGGAGGCAACCGTCGCAATGTGCTGCAAGGTTATTGTTCTCTGAATGGGGGTTTTCTTTTGGTGCGTGTGTGTTGCAGGCGATGGAGGACAAGCTCAAGAGGCTGGCCCTCAAAGTGAGCCATCATGAGGACAACATTAGGTTCCTCAAATCCCAACTCAATGCCGTTGAAGAGGCCTGCATCGACCTAGGAAGTAAGTTGTTAATTTGTTCGGCTCTTCAGTTCAGTTGCAGTAGCTTTGTGCCTTCTGGGATATGTAAATTCTTATTTCACACAAAATGCTGACTTATAACATCATGTGGACTAATTATGATTTCAAATAGTAACTATGGACTGCGATGCATGGATTTTGACTACACCGTGACAGAGTTCGGTTTTACTTGTTATCTCCATACGTACTTATTTGAAATGATGAAATTGCGATGGGCGTAGATTGGTGGGAGGCTGGGTGCATAGATCATAGTCGAAGGAGGTTGGAGGGCAAGGGACGGGAGCCTTACGGCGTCCTGCCTTTGCTACTGGCGGCTAGGGAAGCAGGGGCGCACCCTATGCTGGCCGACCGTAAGGAGAGGGAGAGGAGGCTCAGGAACCGGAGGGCCAAGAGCTTTAGAGGATAAACCCCTTCTTTTCTTGCTTGCCACAAAGGGGTACATATGCCCTATATAAGCTATATTTATAGTCCCAAGTGGGCTTGTTTACCAAGTAATCAAATGGGAATAATTCCTTAGGGCGTCCTCAATGGTAATTGTTGGTAGCTAGCGATTTAGAAACCACGTCATTGCGTGGACCCTACAAGTAAACATTTTTATTTACTCGAGACTAGCGAGGAAGTAGTCTCTAGCGAGATTGGTTTTGCGATTTCTCTTGCCTCCACGTCAGACCGAGCTAGCGACATCACCCCTTGTTGGGGACGCCCTTATAGATTTGAACTTTCCCTCACACTTCTTTCCTAAGCAAACTCAATTACCATATCTATTCTATCTCTAATTTCCTAATTGGAACCGGAGCTGGACTTTCCAGAGAGGGTGGACGCCTGCCTTTTGGCCGTCCCCCTTGCTGGACGTGCGCCCTCCTGATGGAGGCGCCGCTCAAAGGCCTTGCCAGCCTATGTCCTAATTTGGGCTCTTTTGGGCCCAGCCTGACAGAAATCATCTGAAGAGAATTGGCAATCTTCAAAATGTAATTAACATTCTTGTGAACGGATGATGTCCCAAAAATATCTAGATGAGTAATGCAGCATTTCGTATATTTTATAAGAATTTCTCTTTGACAATAGAGAATTTTAAGCTTGAACAGCATTATGCAAAGAGTGTAAAAATCATTTTGGAAGACAGACTATATTCACATTAGCCTTGTTGACCACCTTTCCTTTTGCTTCCTACTGTTAACACTCTGATGGACTGTGCTTCACTGATGAAAGAAGTCCACACTCCACATTTGCATACATTATTTCACAATGCCTCTATAAGTGTACTGAAACTGCAACTTTTTCTCAGTCAAACTTGGGAATTATCATTCATCCGTGGCCGCTGTTGTGAATAATGATACTTCTGCTCAAGAGGCTGAACAGCGTACTATCCGAAGTATACTTGATCAAGACAATACAGCAGCTGGGATTATATGCCAATTGAAAGTCCGTCATCATGAGCTAGCATCTAAGATGCCACTGATGAAAGATATACTTGGTTTTGTGGCTACATTGGGAAAAGTAGATAATGACAACCTCAGCAGGTCAAGTTTTCTTCTTTGTTCCGTATGAGATTTTTAGTGCCTTAATTGGTACCAAGTTAATTGAAATTGATGTGTTTGTTCTTATTTTGCCTTTTTTTAATCTTGTTTTAATTTTATTGTAGGCTTCTCACAGAGTACTTGGGAATGGATAATATGCTTGCTCTTGTTTGCAAGACTTATGATGGTGTTAAGGGTCTTGAGAAATACGACAAGGATGGCATCATTGATAAGACCAGTGGCGTTCATGGACTTGGTCGCTCTGTTGGAAAATTTCTGGATGGAAGATTTACTGTCTTTTGTCTTGAAAACTTGAGGTACATCTTTTCATATATTTACCACCTTCTCTTTTAGGATCAACTGGATGAGCACTTTAATATTATGCATTATTAAATGCTGCAGGCCATTTTCTGGTGATGTTAACATTGACGATCCGCAGAGAAGGCTTATTTTACATAGACCAAGGTTGCCTGGAGGGCAGCCTCCTCCTGGTTTTCTGGATTTTGCAGTAAATATGATCCATCTGGACCGAGCACACTTGAGTTGCCTCACAGCCAGTGGCCATGGTCTTAGGGAAACTTTGTTTTATACTTTGTTTTCCCATTTACAAGTTTATAAGACTAGAGCTGACATTCAAAGTGCTCTTCCACTGATAAAAGATGGTGCTGTTTCTCTAGATGGTGGTATACTAAGACCCAATGGCTCGTTCTGCCTTGGCGATAGGTATGCAATTTATCCGTTTACATGTCTTGGTAATGTCAATTGATCATGCATTTTTTGAGTTTTGCTGATTCTCCTGATTATTGTGTACTGTACTATGTAAAGTAATACATCATGAGACTTTTCATAAGCTCATTCTATCAGACACTTGTTACACTTAATCATGAAATTTGTAACACTGTGAACTGTAATTAGTTTCTGTAAACTGTAAAACTGTGCTGTGATAAAATCGAAAGAAATGGTGTAATTACTTTTTCTCTTTATCACCTATTTTATGAGGTCTGAACTGTTGATTTCGTATGTTCTAAAGAAGAATGTCAGTCTTTATTCAGTTATCTTACCTGGTTTGTTTATTTACCTCATGCAGTTTTCTTGCTTTGTTTGGACCGTTGTTGTTGCTAACCTTTTACACCTTTTTTCCTTTATAATTTATGTTCACACATGCTAATCAAGCTAGATTTCATTACTTTAAATCTCTAATAAATAACTATAAATGGCTTTTGCAGCCAAAATCTTGAAGTGAAATTTCCTGTAAACATTGAGGTTTCAAGTTTACCTGAAAATATCGCTGAAATGGAGGAGCAAGTTAAACTTAAGAATTGGGAGAAGGAAAGGGTTCTTGAAGATATGAAAAGGGAGGAGGATTTGCTGAAACAAGTTAAGGAATTATACATGAAGCAGAAGCAAGAGCTCATGGATTATCTCACTCATCCAGCAGTGACACAGGTATGTATACATGAACGATTTATTCCCTCTAGAACCTAAGGTACTTCATATTTAGTGACGCAATGGAATATCTACGCATATACTAGTGTAATATAGCTTCCTGTGCAATAGGCCAAATTTCTTGGAAATCTGAATAACATTTGATGATATAAGTTTTTTTTTTTTGGAACAAACGGGCACAATTGTGCCTATTCCATTGATAGAGAAGGGTAATTTTTTTCTGTTATTATCCATACGTAGAAGGATGAACAATACTGTAACTTGACCTGCTTTTTTCTCTTCTGGCAGACGTGGCGTGATTCGCCAACAACTCATTCACCTGCAACTCCTGGAAGTAATCCATTTGGAGCCAAGCCCTCCCACAAGCGCTGGTAGTAGAAACATTTGGTGGCATCCCTATTTTGTTGGGGCTCTTGCATGCTCTGGCATCATGCCTGAAGCACGACGTAACTACCTTTTGCCACAAGCTTGGTGTTAGTTTGTGGAGGATGATAGGCCAATGAAATTCTTCTACTACTTCCATATAGCTAGCTTAGTGGCCCTATGGATCTCAATTAATCTATGGGGTTAGAATGTTTCTTAGCTTTTGCTTGCGGGTTTGTGAGGCTTTTTACTCCATGGTTGCCTTGTAAGTCCTTGTTAAGAGGACAAGTGATGTACATGTACATGCAAGGTAAAACATGCTAATCAAATTGCCAAATGCTAATCGTGATTCTTGGCTGTTGATGCACTTTTCTGCTTGATGCATGTATAGGGATTATTTCATTTATAGCACAAGTAAATTGGAAGCAGCAGCTGTTTGTCGTTTTAGTTGCTTCTTCAACATGTGTATTTCCATTGCGATATGCCAAATAGGTAGGCCTGCTCAATGAAGTTTGATTGAATTTTCATGAACGGTGTGGAATTCATCAGGTCTGATGTTTGCTCGATATTGCTTGCCTTTCTGTGCCACATTGAAACGTATATATTTCTTCAATTTGTCTACCATGTAAATTATGGGGGTTGAATTGATGTTTGCAGCACGAATTTGTGCATGTACTTAACCAACATAGTATTATTTGAACTCGATTGCGAACTATGATGAACACGAGACACTGCTTTCATATACTAGCTAGTATGTGTTATTAAATGGGAAATAGTGGCATGGATTTTAAAGCCCATAGCGACGCCTATGGTGACTGAGTGGTGAGGGTGTTGTAACAGCCGAGCCAAGCTCTGTGAGCTCAAAGGACATGAGCATGACCCAGGCTAGCTCTGTGAAGTCAGAGGCCATGACCCAACGGAAGCTCACCTGCACACCACCTGTCTTGACACCACGCAAGAATTGTGTCGTCGCCGCCAACATGCCTTCACCTTTCCTCGCGTGGCCACTCCTTGCCAATGCCAAGACCTCCAGTCGTCTCTTCAAATGCCAACGCCGTGCCCTTCCTCCTGCTCCCTACCATCAACCAGCAGCAGCAGAAGCAGCAGCTCAGGATGGGCGACGTGGCCATCGCCACCATGCATTTGCATGACGCTGAGGAGGAGCAGGAACACATCTTCCGGAGCCGGTTCCCGCCCGTGGCCGTGCCGGACGACGTCACGGTGCCGGAGTTCGTGCTGGCGGGTGCCGAGGCCTACGCGGACAAGACGGCGCTCGTGGAGGCCGCGCCGGGGGGCCGGTCCTACACCTACGGCGAGGTGGCCCGAGACGTGGCGCGGTTCGCCAGGGCGCTGCGGTCCGTCGGTGTCCGCAGGGGGCCACGTCGTGGTGGTCGCGCTCCCGAACCTGGCGGTGTACCCCGTGGTGAGCCTCGGGATCATGTCCGCCGGCGCGGTCTTCTCCGGCGTGAACCCGCGCGCCGTCGCCGCCGAGATCAAGAAGCAGGTGGAGGACTCCGAGGCCAGGCTCGTGGTCGCCGACGCGGTGGCCTACGACAAGGTGAAGGACGCGGGCGTGCCGGTGATCGGCATCGGGGATGCTGCGCAGCTTCCCGGCGCGATAAGCTGGGACGAGCTCCTCGCCGCGGCGGACCGGACGGGCGCGCCGGCGGTGGCGCTGGACCCGGCGCAGCAGTCCGACCTGTGCGCGCTCCCCTACTCGTCGGGGACGACGGGGATGTCCAAGGGCGTGATGCTGAGCCACCGGAACCTGGTGTCCAGCCTCTGCTCCTCCATGTTCGCCGTCGGGAACGAGTTGGTCGGGCAGGTGGTCACCCTGGGCCTAATGCCCTTCTTCCACATCTACGGCATCACCGGCATCTGCTGCGCCACGCTGCGGCACAAGGGCACGGTGGTGGTGATGGACCGCTTCGATCTGCGCGCCTTCCTGGGCGCGCTGCTCACGCACCGCGTCATGTTCGCGCCCGTTGTGCCGCCGATCATGCTGGCCATGGTGAAGAGCCCCGTGGCCGACGAGTTCGACCTCTCTGGGCTCGCACTCAGGTCCGTCATGACGGCCGCCGCGCCGCTCGCGCCGGACCTCCTGGCGGCGTTCGAGCGCAAGTTCCCGGGCGTGCAGGTGGAGGAGGCGTACGGGCTCACGGAGCACAGCTGCATCACGCTGACGCACGCCGGCGGCGACGAGGAGGGGGGGGCCGGTGCAGATCGCCAAGAAGAAGTCGGTCGGGTTCATCCTGCCCAACCTGGAGGTGAAGTTCGTGGACCCCGACACGGGGCGGTCGCTGCCCAAGAACACGCCCGGGGAGATCTGCGTGCGGAGCCAGGCCGTGATGCAGGGCTACTACAGGAGGAAGGAGGAGACGGAGCGCACCATCGACGCCGCGGGGTGGCTCCACACCGGCGACGTCGGGTACATCGACGACGACGGCGACGTGTTCATCGTCGACCGGATCAAGGAGCTCATCAAGTACAAGGGCTTCCAGGTTGCTCCTGCCGAGCTGGAGGCCATCCTCCTGTCTCACCCGTCCGTCGAGGACGCCGCCGTCTTCGGGTAAGCGACCACACCACCAGTGACCGATCGCAGTTGTGTGTTGAATTGAACTGACCGCCGTGGTTGTTTGTGTTGCCGTGCAATGCAGGCTGCCGGACGAGGAGGCCGGCGAGATCCCGGCGTCGTGCGTGGTGCGGCGGCGTGGCGCGCCAGAGAGCGAAGCGGACATGATGGCGTACGTGGCGGGGCGTGTGGCGTCGTACAAGAAGCTCCGGATGCTGCGGTTCGTGGACGCCATCCCCAAGTCGGTGTCCGGCAAGATCCTGCGGAGGCAGCTCAGGGACGACTTCATCAAGAGGGCCAAGACGGCAGCAGCCTAGTGCAGACAGTAGGGACAAGTCGGCAACTGTGACTGCTTGCTTAGACCCAGTTCACTTGGAGCAGTATTTTTCAACGAACGAATAGTATTTTTCTCTCACAATAAATTAACATAAGTATCAATATAAGCTAAATTTCAGAGAGCTAGACAGTGCAAGATCTTGCATTTGTCAAACCAATAACTGTGTCTCACATCACATCCCGGAAGGCCCAGCAGCCCATCCGGAGGAGCTCTAGAAGACGCTACCGCAGTACAAGACTTTTAGGCGCACAGTAGATGTGTAATTTAATGCTCGTAAGAGTGAGCCCGTGTGAGAGTGTTAAGAGGAGACCCCTGAAGATTGTAAGGACTAAGCTATCAATTGAGAAATACAATCCTCCATTCTCCAAGCCAAACAACCTACCAGCTGGAGCGCCTCTGCCTTCTTTCCCAATTCTCCCTTCCTCTATTCCGAGGCCCTACCGCCGGCGACGAGGTTGCTAACATCCGGTATCAAAGCCACCGTCCTTGACCCTACTTCTGGATCCGCATGGATCGAAGAGCCTCGCACGACAAGTACACCCGCTTGCAATGATCTCGGGGAGCCATTGTCACATTCGACCCAGTTTGGAATTTGGCCCATAGTGGGCCATGTGCATGTTAATGAGATATTGTGGAGAGTTTAGTTCCACCTTAGTTGTTAAAGGTGTGATAGACCAATATATAAGACTTCTAGAGTCCATCCCACCATCCTTGGATTAATCATCTTACGCGAAGCGAGGACAAAAGCATAAGTGGGATTGTGGTAGGTGTGGTTCGCTTAGCGTGTAGAGTGGATCTGAGCCGTTTGGACTCTGGGGCGTTACAAATGGTATCAGAGCGACCTTCGTGGCCACGGGCGCATGCGGGTCAGGGGCACGGACATGAGGCGCATTGCGCGTGTAGGCCCTACGGGGTGCACGGTCGCGTGTGCTAAGAGGGAACGTCCCTGGTCATCGTTTGCCCGGTTGTGGGTGTGTTGAGCCAACAAGTACGTCGGGTCCTTTGAGGGGGTTTGTCTATCACATCCGGTCTAGTTTGGAATTTGGCCTATAGCGACCCATGTGCATGTTAATGATGAGTCATCGGGTCCTGCTCCCAGTCTAGTGTCGTCCCCAGAGTCGGTCATCGTGTGCCCACCAGCCGGAGCTCTGATCGACTGGCCCAACAGGCACCATGACGAACTGATTACACGAGAGAGGGGCTATGGGTCTGTGACGACCATAGCCTCGAACCCGGCCCACACGCACAACTTCAGTCAATTTGATTTGCGGGAATCATCGATCCACGCCCATCAATCCCTCCTTCAAGCCAAAAATTCTACACACCACCTCCCCCAAAATTTCCCCACACCCAATTGTCATCCCATTTAGGTCAATTGCCCAAAATGCACTTTCCCCAATTCAATGGAGACAACCCTTAGCTCTGGATTTCTCGAACTCAAACATATTTTGAGACGTACTATCTCCAAATGTCCAAATTAGTTAGTGATGGTTTTTTGGATCAAACTTTTGATAGTGGTAACCTCAGTTTCTCACATCTTTTAATCTTTTCCCCCTTTTCTTGGATCTTTGAACATGTCATTGCTCTTTTTTGTGAAGGTGAAGGAATAAAGATTATGCATCTGGTGACTTATACACCGAGAGCCAAACCATCTTTAGTGTGTGTGGGTGGAATGGCAACTACAACAATCCAATTGGACCACTCCCTAAAATCCCTGAGCATAAGATTATGTTCATCTCTCAGCATGAGATTAACTTTTTATTCTCATGCCTAACAATTAGTTAAGTTTATATCTTTATGTATTTTGCCACCTAAATATGTAATCCATGGATATTTGAGCAAGAGAAGCCAATGACGCATCGTCTCATATTGAATTGCAGGGTAGTATAATGTTAAATTATGCTTATCTAGTACTCCCTATGTTCACAAGGACATAATTCTCGCTTCTCGAGTCAAATGATTTGAAGTTTGATCAGTTACATAAAAAAGTATTAGCATTTATGATACAATATAAGTACTATTAAATTAATTAAAAATATATCATCGTAGTAAATCTAGTTGGAGATATTATTATCATACTATTCATTATAAACTTGGTCAAAGTTGAGCTAGTTTGACTCGTACAAATCTTATAGTTGCATCCATTCGTGGATGGAAGGGGTATCTATTATGGAGAAACATATTGTTGAATCTCTTCATTACATATGATATGTGATTATGCCTTGTTTCATTTTGTGAAGTTGCAAGTTGTCATTATTGTACATGTGTTGTGTGGTATTTTGTGTCTAGTGTATCAATGATCAAAAGAAAAGTTTGTTAAGGCACTTCCAAGGGGTTTCTTTTTCCCTGAGCAGCAAATAATTAAGATTAACATCACGAACACTATATCATTATATTTATGACTGCTCAAATATTTTGTTAAGGCACTTCCAAGGGACTAGAGTGGGGTGGACATCCTAAAATATTTTGTTTGAGGACTATGAGTGTTTGATACTAATAAATCAGTGATGTTTCTCACATTCCAAAATAAATAAATAATAAATAACTATATGCTCAATTTATTCAAATAATTATGTAGACGAAGAGATAAAGGCTCTTGGAGTATGGTATGGTGGACCCAAGGGAGCGGGTGCCAGGCCCGAGGTGGACATCCAGGTGGAGCATGATAAGGTTCTTGTTCGAGTGATGTCTCCAATGGAGAACCATCCATTCAAGGTGAAAGGATCTAAACAATGCTAGAGGAGGGTGAAAAGGCGTATCTTAAAATTTTTATGTAATCTTAAAGTCAAATGTTAGTGATAGTTTGAAGTCTCGATAGTTTGGGCCAGAACTTCCGGCAGCCGAAAGTTCTGACGCAAACAACCGAGAGTTCCAGCACCTACGAGGATAGCACTACAAGTGCTAAAACGAACTTTGAGTGAAATATATCTTACAACCCCACTCCCTAGTGGTAAGATGAGTATTGGGGTTGCTCCTTTGACGTCGGAAGGTCACCACTCCATAGATCGAATCCAAACCCTAAGAGGAGAGTTGTGGAGGAAGACAAACCAACAAGAACAAATATGACAGCATAAATCACAACAACAAGCACGAGGGATGTAAGAATTTATCCCGAGGTTTGGCAACCCCACAAAGGAGCTCCTACATCCTCGTTGTTGAGGTGACCACAAAGGTCAAAGTCTCTTCCACCTCCTTGACTCTCTCAAAGCAACCACAAAGGTTACTTGAGCTTTTCACTAAGAAATCGAGGGTAATACAAACTTTCTAAGGCTCTTTCACAAGATGGAAGCTCTTGGCGACGCCTAGTCGGCTAGGGTTCCAAGAACCCAGGAGTAACAGACACAAATCCAACCGACTTGACGTAGAAATCAAGTGCTCAAGCTTGCCAAAGTGATTCTCTCACTCAATCCACTCTCCTTTCACTCAAAACCCTAGGGGAATCGAATATTGGAGCAAAGAGGAGAGGGGAGGGGAGCCTTCAATGCTCGGGAGCTATTTTGGACGAAGGTTGGTGAGCAATGAATGAGTGGTCACAGTTAGAAGAGAGGAGAGAGCTATTTATACTCAAAGGCAAATCCAACCATTCAAATATGAGTCGGAAGTTCCGACACAGATCGCCAAAACTTCCAGCTCAATGCAAAAACATTGTTCATGTAGACAGTCCACTAGGCTTGCTCGCATATCGTCAGAACTCCTGGCTATTGCGGGACTTCCGGCTTCCATCGGAACTCCCAACAGATATAGCGAGCCAGGCGACTAAGTCCCAAAGTGTCGGGACTTCAGACACCCGAAACTCCTGACTCTCGTTGGGACTTCTAACAGGCGAAGGTGCGTAGGCGGGCTGCGGCTAAGTCGGCAAGCGCTGGGACTTCCGACACCAAACGTCGGGACTTCCGACTACCAAAAGTCCACAAACTAGTGTTCGTGAGGTGACTTTGTGTCTCTCTTTTGATTTTATTTTTATGCTTGATCACTCTATCTTCCTCAGACCACCTAAACTTTCATCCCTCTTTATAGTACGGCATGCCTAAACCTAAAACAAAACACAAAAGCTTTGGAGAGCGCTTTGGGTTCATCCGCTTTTAGCACTTGAAGAATTGAGGGATACCATTTCATCTTAGATCAACTCTTTTAAAACTTTTAAGGGACTAAAGCTGCAATATATCTCATTAAGATCTCGTTAGTCCCTAATTTGGATGTCATCAATACACCAAAACCCACATAGGGGCAAATGCACTTTCAATCTCCCCCTTTTTGGTAATTGATGACAACCAACTTATGCTTTCATAAGAATGTAAGAATTTAAAGCTTTTAAACCCTCAAAATTTATAGAGAGCTCTCCCTTAATATATGCAATGGATTTGAATTTCAATGATGATCATCAACACATCACTTGCATATATTAAGATAGAAACTCCCCCTAAATTTTGTAATCCATGGGGTGCAACAAGTGTATGTGAACAAGTGAATATCCATAAAAAAGGAGATGCAATATGACATGTTATATTCACACAATGAGTAAAAGAAAATGTGATGGCCAAGATCTCAAAGTAACAACTTGAAACAACACATGGCCATCCAAAGTAACATCCACCATTCACATGTAGAGACAAGCAATATAACTAATAGATATGTAGATAAATATTACTTGTCTTACAATTGTAACACCCCGGGTGTTTAAGTATTAAAAAACTGGACATATCATCATATGCATTGCAAGACATTGGTCATATTACAAACTTTGATATGCATTAACTAAAACAAGTTTACATTTATGTTATAAGTATTGCTTGGTATTATTTGAATCAAGTTTGAAATCTTTGTATTGATTTGAAATTCCGAAAACCCTGATTTTCAATATTTAAATCCTACCCTGAAAACCCATTTCAAAATCAAAGCACATTTTGGGGTTGTGTCTAAAAGCAAAGTTGTAGAGCTTGTCGAGTTGTACAAAGTTTGTTTTTGGAGTTTTTCAAGTTG